GAACCGCCGGTCTTACCCCGCCAGCGGAGGTGGCAAGAGACAGCGCCGAGAGAAAGCCGCAGAAGTCGATTTTGCAGCCGTCCTCACAACGGGGTAATCGGCTGCGATACGTCGAATTCAGCTACGCTATTCACGTAGCTGAATTTGCGTATCTTAAATCGACTCCCCCCTGTAGTGTAGATGTACCCTAAGTATAAATGTAATCCCTTAGTACTCTCAGAAACTCCAATTTGGGGTAACTCCAAAATTTTAAGTGCCTATAGATCCCTTCTGTGGCCTGATTGGACTAAAAAGGGGATTTTGAGCATAAAGCATATAACTGAAAATTTACCTTCATGTGCTTTCCCAAAGGATACCAATACCTTCAACTTAAAAATGTTCTGCAACACCAGTTTGGACCAGGTGCCCTTTCAGTCCTGGATGCCCCCTAACTGATGGGGCTTTCTGAAATTTGTTACACTGTGTAGGTGTGACATTCTATACCTTGGGGGATCACCCTGTGACCCCGCCATACTCATTTATATATAATTGTGATCTTGCATATAAAGCATGCCATGTAAGATATCAAGGGAAAGGTTATGATCTGCTGAAAGTCATTTTCTATCTAAATATGTATATTATTAATGCATATGAAGTTATGAGAATGTGTTGTATGGTTGTCACTAAAATATGCTGTGGGTTTGGGAGGTGCCCAGATACTAGCTCTCCAGAGACAATGACAAGGGAGGTAACCAACAGCTGGGTGGGTGCTGAACAGACATAATGAACCATTGTCCAGCAAAGGAGCTACAATGCAACGATTCACCTGCATAAGGCTACACCAGGATATTGCTCAACCTTGCCTGGGAACTCAGCAATGCCCACCAGACATGCCTTGACTTGTGTTCTCCAAGCACATGGGACTGAGGATATAAAACAGAATACAGTGACCACAGGCTGGGTCTTTCTCCTGCCCCCCACCAGTGCTGCAAGTAACAAAGACACTCAGAAGACTGAAGACTCCAACAGAGGAGACTGGCCCAGGTTTAAGGGACAAACCTATATATTAAGGACTGCAGAATCCAGTGGGGCGAGAAAAATTGCTTACTCTAGATATTGCCCAGTCTAATAAGGTTGAGAGTTTAGACTGCATGCTTATATTTTATTTTCTTTTGGTAACCACTCTAACTTTTTGCCTATCACTTATAATCACTTAAAATCTATCTTTTGTAGTCAATAAACTTCTTTTACTGTTTATCTTTACCAGTGAGTTTGCCTGAAGTGTGTTGTAAATCTGCTCAGGTTTGCATAGGCTAGTGTATATCCACTTTCCATTGATGAAGTGGTGAACAACTTAATAAATTTCCACTGCTCGTCTTGAGCAGTGCAAGATGATATATTCCTGAGGTACATTTCTGGGAGCTAGGGGGATTCGGCTGGTGCCTTTCCTGTATGATTCATGAATGGCTCTGGGAGCATTCATGTAATCTAGCTGGGTGTGTGGCTCCACATGCAGTTGTACTGAGTGATAAGAGTGCCTGGAGGAGCTTGCTGCTTGTCACTAGCAAAGCATTGTGAGAGACAGCCCAGGCTGGAGAGTTAAAGGGGCAAAGTGGTCCCACAGTCCTAGGATGCACCCCGGGGATCCCATCACACTAGACTATTGGCCAGCTTTTTGTATCCCACCTATCGGCAAACTGGCAACTACTAGTGACAGTGTTAAAAGGAAATGGGAATGAGAGCTCTTAATCTCCTTTACCAACATTCAGTGAAATCAGATTTGTTCCAATATACCACATTGGTCACTAGATTTGGGATTAAGATTGATCCAGCAGAAAATCCTTTAGAGGATGCTCTGGACTCCTCAGACTTTTCAGGTCTGAAATGCTGGTCCTGCAATGCAGCAGGTGCTCACTTATACCCAGTGATGAGCTGCCAAAGTCTTAAAAACTGGCTCCCTACCGGTTCTTCGGCGGCACTTCGGCAGCAGGTCCTTGACTTGCTCCGGATCTTCGGCGGCACGTTGGTGGTGGGTCCTTCAATGCCGTGGAAGACGCAGAGCGAGTGAAGGACCTGCCGCTGAAGTGCCGCTGAAGACCCGGTAGGGAACTGCACGGTGAATACAAGCCCCCTGTCCGTCCCCCACCCGTGTCCTGCCCCCGACTGCCCCCCTCAGAACCTGCAACCCATCAACCCCCGCTGCTCCTTGTCCGCTGACCACCTCCTCCTGAGACCCCCCACCTTAACTGCTCCCCAGAACCCCACCTCCTACCCAACACCCCCCATTCCCCTGTCCCCTAACCACCCCCCCCCAGAACCTCCGCCCCCTCCAACCGCTCGCTGCCCCTAATCCAACCCCTCCTCCCAGCCCCGGCTTGGCCCCCTTACCATGGTGCTCAGGGCAGCATGTATGGATGCTGCGCGGCCCGCTGGAGCTCACAGCCCCACCTGTTTACCATGCCGCTCAAAGTGGCAGGAGCTGCCGAGCTGCCCAGGAGCGGTCCAAAGCACTGGCGCAGGCGGTGCGGCATGCTGAGGCTCTGCGAGAGGAGGAAGGCGGGGGAGGGGCCGGGGAGCCTCCCCAGCCGGGAGCTCAGGCGGGCCGGATGTGGCCCGCGGGCCAGTGTAATGACAGAAAAACCTCCCTCTTCCAATTGCCCACCCCTTTAACAACCAGTTCTAAACCGGCTTCTAAATTTAACAACTGGTTCGCGCGAACCCGGTGCAAACCAGCTCTAAATCACCACTGCTTATACCACATACTATGGGATTGTCCTGTGACATGCATCTTTTCTGGGCAGAGCTAAATATTCAGTCCAATTTCTTTCTTGCCACCAAGGTGCAACTGCAGGCTGGCCATGTCATCCTTGGCCTAAACAATCCGTGTTAGAAACTGGAATCCTTTGGAAAACTCTGATCATAATCAAATGTCTAATTCTACAATAGTGGAAGTCCCAAATGTGCCCAACTATCAAAAATGGCGTTCTGACTTGGTAGTCTAGTGGCAATGGAACTAATTACATGTTGTAAAAGAAACAAACAAGAGAAGTGTATGGATATATGGTCCCCAACCATATTGGAAGTCTCTGAATAATCAATTAAATTGTTCATTGGATAAGCCTTTTATTTTGGGGGGGTGGGGTTTGTGGTGCTCCCTGATACCCTAGTCCCCTCCCACTCCCCCCTTTTCCTCCTCTGTATCGCTGTCGGATAATTCATTTCCTACTTTCCTTTTGGGCTTTTCTTTGGTCCTTTTCTCACTCTCAACATTCTTCTTTCTCTTCCATTTCTCTTTTTCTGAAAAGGAAATTTTGGTGATCAGTTTATGATGTTACTTTACAAAGAACCCCAAACTGGGACTGAATCATGTTAGTAAGAAATGTTGTGTTGGTACTGTTTAAAGGTGTTTAATTAGCTGCTTTAATAGTGTATATAAGGTAAAGGTTATGTAAATCACTGGCTTTAATGAAATCCAATATGGAGTATATCATCTGTGACTTGTGGACTCCATCTCTGTAAACAGACTTGTTTACTGTTAAAGACACTGGATTTCCCTGGCTCAAACTGGACTGAACCAGTTTTTCCCGCCAAAACCAGCTCCCAACATTCTATTCCCTCAGAACTTTTCCCTCCAAAAAGTCTATATAAGAGCCTGCTCAGTGCCTGCGTGGGGCTGTCCATTCCAGTGGCAGCGTGTGCACCGTCGGGTCTTCCTACAGCTCCAGAGTTAGAGAGAAGAGTACCATCTATCCTGTAGCAAGGTTGAGGAAGAAGAGGCCTGTCATCACTATCCCTGCCACAGAGAACTGAATCCATTTTACCTGTGGAGGGTCCTGCTTTCCTGGTGCCTGTCATCTCAAAGGGTCTCCCCACCTGTGACGAAGTCCAACAATCGTCCGGACTCCCCAGTAGTCCTCCTCGAAGGCTCTAAATCAGCCGGAGAGTAGAAGGTCCTGGGCTTCGCACCTGGACGCTGTGTCCACTGCTCCTAACTCATAGGAAAGGTTTCTGTATTGGGGTTTCTTTTATTGTTTTTCTAAATGCCAAGGGAGGTTTTGTGGGTCTGAGCTTGTTTGTGTTTCTTCCCCCCCATTTCCCCCAGTTTTTTGTACCTTTACCCTTAATATACTTACCTTTGTTTGCACCATATTACCCTGTCTCTCTTTATTTTTATTATATCACACAGGGAGGAAGGGACACCCTTATTGTAAGCTAAATCCACCGGTGACAGACACGGAAGGGAGCCGAGTCTGCTCTTCTGAGAAAAGGGGCTTTCCTTTTCTATCTTTCCCCCTACCATTTTCTAGTATTTTCTCTCAGAAGAGTTACCTTACTCCCCTTGGGGTAACAATAACAATGACCATTATTACATAATAGTACCGGCAAATCTTTTTAACCAGTCATATTGATTATATTACTCTTTGCACTTAATAACAAAGAAGTATGGTCTTACCCATCTCGTCTGATATTGACTCTTTACTCCAGGTTCGATACCTTTGTTCTCTTTGTATTTTTGTTCTCTTTGTCATCTGTGTTAAAAGGATAAAACACACACATTTTATATATATTTCTTCTCCATTCCTTTTAAGCAAGCGACTTCAAACTGCAATTTGCAATTGTAAACTTTTAGCACTTTCAGACTGAATTTTGTATCCTACCTTCACTTGAGCGATTTAATATGGTTCATATTTAACAGCTAGTTTGAACTTCAAATTACTGGCCTGATTCTCAAAAGTCAAGTTAGGCAGAAGCTATGTATCTTCTTTCATTCAATCTGGAGCTCCTTAGACTAGGACTGAGTTTTGTAGTCAGATGTGTACAGGAAGAGAGTTAACAGGAATGGGGGAAGGAAGGGAGTAGAGGAGAGAAGGAGAGATTTAAGAAATTCTAATATATGAGATGAACCAAAGTCATTAGTGCAAAGTCCAGAAGTCTTACAGACTAGGTACTGAGGGACCACATCCCATTCACTACCAAAGAAAAAGGAGATGCTGAAAAAACAGTAAGAACAGAGAAGATAGAAAAATAAAGGTGAAATGACAACAGACATAGTCCAAATTCTTTCACCCTTCCCTTTGGTTTAAAAAAGAAAACACAACTGTATTGTGGTATACAAACCCCACACTGAAGAGCAAGGGGTTACGGAACAGCACTGGGATCAGGCAACCCTGCCCAGAGATACCTGCAAAGCCTGCACAAGCTAGAGGCAGGGCTTGAAAAGGGAGAGCAGAGCAGTCCATAGGCTGGCAATGGAAGGGAGCAAATGGCTGCTCCGAGGGAAAAGCACTGCCCAGGAGCTCATTGCCTGGGACCTGACAACACAATCCATGCAAACCCACAAGGAAGAAGCAGGGAACAGAGTGTTTGAGTCAGAAACTTTATTGGAGTGGTTTGGGGGGAGCAGTGACTTAATTCTAAGGCACTGGGTTTAGCTGCCTACCATTGGGTCCTGGACCAGAATTTGGTGGAGAGGATGGGCCTGGGTTCCCTTACCTACTCTGAGAGGACAATACAATCACAAGAGTCCTCTCCTCCACTCATTTTCACTGGGCTGGGGCAGGGGGTTGGGGTGCAGGAGGGGTGAGGGCTCTGGCTGGGGGTGTGGGCTCTGTGATCAAGCCAGAAATGAGAAGTTCAGAGTGAGTGAGGGGGCTCTGGGCTGAGGCAGTGGGTTGGGATGAGGGAGGTGGTGAGGGCTCCGGCTGGGGGTGTGGGCTTTGGTGTGGGGCCGGAGATGAGGGATTTGGAGTGCAGGAGGGTGCTCCGGGCTGGGACCAAGGGGTTCAGGAGGCAGGAGGGGTATCAGGGCTGGGCAGGGGGTTGGGGTGTGGGGATGTCAGGGGTGCAGGTTTCGGGTGGCACTTACTTCAAGCAGCTCCCGGAAGCAGCGGCATGTCCCTCTCTGGCTCCTACGCGGCGGCATAGACAGGTGGCTCTGCATGCTGCCCTGTCTGCAGGTGCCGCCCCCGCAGCTCCCCTTGACTGTGGTTCCCGAACAATGGGAGCTGTGGGGGCGGTGCCTGTGGATGGGGCAGTGCGCAGAGCCCCATGGCTGCCACTAGGCGTAGCAGCTGAGTGGGGACATGATGCTGCTTGTGGGAGCTGCGTGGAGCCACAGCAGGCAGGGAACCTGCCTTAGCTTCAATGCGCCGCGACTGGACTTTTAACGGCCCCATCAGCAGTGCTGACTGGAGCCACCAGGGTCCCTTTTTGACTGAGCTTTCTGGTAAAAAAACAGATACCTGGCAACCCTAGATAGGAACCCCTGACAACTGGGATAGGAACCTTGGAGGAAGAGTTTACTTAGTAGGTCTAAGAGAGAGGGGTCTGACTAGGAAGGCTGGAGAATGAAAAGCTTGGAAGTAGTAGGAAGTAGTCCAGGGACAATAGCAGTAAAGTGGGTGTAGCTGCAGGACCCTGGACTGGAATGTCATCAATCCTGTTTCCAGATAGGCTAGAGAACATGCTATTATCCACTCCAAATAAGCATCTAGAAAGCTTCCCTCTGAACCAGTGGAGCAGGGTCTCCTTGTACTTTATGAGCAGGCATGAGTAATACTGAAGGGAAAATAACTGTAGTTCCAATCCCAACAGAAGGAATCATGATATAATTTGAAGCATCAGCTACACGGTAGATTAGTCAGTACATATCAAAGATAGATAAATGAGTAGATACCAACTGGCCAGCTGAACTCCGAAGTGGGAAAAGCTGAGCTCACAGGTTTTCTTTCATTTAGTTAGGAAACAGATTTTTTTTTTTGGAAGATGATGGTTAAAGAAATGGTATATCATGTTCAACTAGTCCATGATAAAGTGAACCTGCTGCCCAATAAAAGTTTTCCAATACACCAGAATCAATTAAAGAACCCATGAAGCAATGTGGTGGGTGTTTAGAAGAGTATGTGTAAACCTGCTTGTATCACAGAACAAAAGCTTTCTCTAAGAAACCATGGGAACAGGAAACCTCACCCAAAAACAGCATGCAACCGGTATTCTCACCTGCCAGAAACCTGTCAGTGAGGGAGATATTCTGTATACCAGGGAGCTTTGAGGAATCATCAGTGAACACAAGTCTCAGTTTGATTGGACTGGTCACTGAAAACCACATCCAAAGTAGTAACCATACGACTGGACTCTAACGGATATTGGCTCACTAAGCTTGGTCTGAACAGGTAATTCCACAGGACCGGACAGGGCCCTAGGCACACCATGACAAAGAGTTCAAGGGCTCTGTCCCTGATGCCCTGCCTCTAGGTCATGGCTCTACCTGACAGTGAATGGGCCACACATAGGAAGCAAAAAAATGTGTGGGACTGTGCAGTGAATAGGAACGGGGAGGAAAACCTCCTGCAGATCCACAGAACAGAGAGAACCTGGGAGCAGTTAATTTGAGGCAGGAGTGCAAATGTTTCCAGGGCCAGTTTGGCCTTCCCAGGGAGGTGGGGGCAGTCCAGATTGGGACAGTGTGCCCTGGCAGATCCTCTGCCTCAGCAGTTAAATCACTGCTAGCACAGGCAGCTCCTATGGCCTCAAGGCTACTGAGGGCCAATGAGGAATTTCATATTTCACACCTGGGATATGTGTGTGTCTTTGCCCTAGAGCTCGCTCCCCCCCATTGCCTACCCCCAGCCTCTCCTCCCTACTCTCTGCTGGCAGCTGCCCCTCCTAGCCCGCACCTCCCTCCTGCCGACGCCCCGCCCCCGCGGTGTCCCGGCTCCGCCTCCTCGCCGAATGTCCCA